GTGGTAGCTCTCGGGGGATAGTTATTGCAACTCGCATTTCCCAACTTGCAACTCGTTTTTTCCAATTCACAATTTTTATTTCCAACTCACACTAAAGTAATACTCGTTTGAAACCATTGATTTAGTGTTGTTTTCGTGCACAAGATTTGCTAATGCTAGTGATCAATATAGTATAAATTATACATGAATGCTCTTTTAAGAATGTACTATTCCTTACCATCTGTTAAATGTCTAAGCTTGAACAAATTTTTAATTCTAAAAATATGAATAGTGTTGTAGGAATAGGATCACAGTCAATGTCTTTACCTGTCTAAAAAACATAAAAGAAATTGGGGTCGTGCGACCTTCCCGACACCCCCTCCCCTTGCATACACCCATGGTTGGTATTAGGGTTTGTTTACAGTCATCAATCGAGATAAAGTGCATTGAATATGGCTTCGCCTTGTTGTTTATGTAAGTTACATCATAGATGTTGCAAATGTTGGTTGGAATGCGAGTTATAATTTGGTAAATCACTTCCAACATTAATTTTCAAACACTTATCAGTTTGGTTTGGTAAGGCTCCAATGGATAGTGGGAATAAAGCCTGGAAGTTCATGGAAAGGTACAGTACCTTCAAAACGTGTATATTGCTCCAGTGAGTCGTCGCCGGCTGAGGTACTTTTCTAGGCCTAGGCCAATTCAAGAATAATATGCATGGCAAATGCTGTCGCAGCATGAAAAAAAAAAAAAAAAAAAAAATTAAAATCCAAAATAAATCATAGGATGTTTGTTACTGCCGAGGATAAATATCGTTACATGACATACCGTAACAAATATCACACGTACTGGAATTAGAATGTACCATACCAACCAGGCCTATTATGAACAGCCTGTTTCCTATACCAAGTTTGGTTGAGCAATCAGTACCGTTAATCGTTACTTTCTACCTACTCGACTGTAGAGATGTATAGTATATAGTCGAGGCACATACAACTACTTCTCAGCTCCGGGCCCTGGCCAAGTTACGGATACCTTTGAGTCGTCGCAGGCTGAGGTACTTTTTAGGCCTAGGCCTAAGTCAAGAATATTTAATTCATGGGATGGTAAATGCTATCGCAGCATGAAAAAAAAAAAAAAAAAAAAAAAAAACGGATCTCACCATTCGTTGCAAGAGTATTATTTGCAGTTATTTTAAATCCAAAATTAAATCATAATAATTATGTTTGTGTAGTTTACTGCCGAGGATAATGTCATGATCACCATATGACATAATATTGTTATTGTTACGGTAGGCCTACTGGAATTAGGATATACCATACCAACCAGGCTAAGGGTTGTTAAGGGATGTTTTCTACTTTATTACCTCGACTACAGAGATATAGTCGAGGCATAACAACTCCCTCCCTGCTCCGGGCCACACTCACAGTGCAGCCTTAGCCTACAGGCCTACCTGTATATAGCCTACCGTACACTAGCAGCATTCCAGAGCCTAAATGAAATGCACAGACATTGCCAAAGTAATTATAAATCACCATTAAAAAAAAAAACCAAAAAAACATAGGCCTACTGCCTGTCGCTGTCTAAAAAACATCATAACTTTCTCAATATACGGTGTTCAGTGATTGGTTTACGATGTGGATGTTTACGTTTAGTATGTCCAACTATAGGCCTATTTTATTTCATTTCTTTAGGCACGAGAGCCAAGGATATATTCCAATAAGTGATCTTAATCACTATCCTATATGGCATATCCACAGGGGACAGGAGACTGTAGACTAATACACCGGGGTAACCCCCTAATCTTCTCGAAGAATGTACTGGGTTCATTAGTGCACACGAGCGAAATGCGTAGCGCCGATATTAAAATAGCTAAGCTGAATGTTATCCAGTAACATGTCACGTGACCAGTAGTAGCTGGAATCGCCATCGGTCTATTGATGCATCAATTTTGTCTAGGCGCATTGTTCCCAGAACGCTCTCGCCCTTTGCGAAGCTAGCTTCGAATAGCAGCAATGGAACGCGGTTCAGTAGATGTAGAAGAAAATGAGAGGCATAGAGGCTATTTTGGGGTTGGGGTGGCAATGAAAGTACTACCGGCTAATTTTGATATTTTCCGAAATATAGGTCTTGAGAATTTCGGAACTCAAAATTACCCAAAATCCCTTTGATGGAACACCTCCAAGTTACGCATTCAAAATGGCCGCCATTTTTCCACTTTATAGTTTCAGCTAAATTATATAAAAAATCACATTACTCGAATAATAATTATCAAAAATTGGTGAAACGTACTCATGAAGACCTAAAGTTTAGTAATATTATAATTAGTATAGGATATATGAAAAATGTTTATTAAATATAGTAAAATAACACTATTGAGTATGAAAGCAATGTCATCAACATAGCAACCTGTTGCTATGGATATTTTATTGTCTTTTTAAATAAGTTAAGTAGGTCTATACTGATTTTAATTAAGGTTTAATGAATTTCATTAATAAAATATAGAATAATATTATATAATATAGAAATTTATGCTAAATGAATATAATTTTTATTTTCATAGTAACCATACAAAGTCAACAAAATTATCTTTTCTCGAGTTTTGTTTACATAATCCTATTCTATGATAATAATAAATAATTCAGATGTTAAAAATATTCATAAAACCTATGAAAATTAATATTTTAATAAACTTTAAGCATCCCGTATACCTAAATTTCATAAATAAAATAGAAAACTTCAATTTGCAAAGCAACGGTTGCTATGGTGATTGAAATTGTAGTTTTTCTTAACGCAAGATTTATTTTTAATGATTAACAAATATTTTGACTAAGTTTCACCAATTGTTGATAAATTCGAGTTTTTAGGTAATTTAGCTAAAACTATAATTTAAAGTGGAAAAATGGAGTCCATTTTTTGAATGCATAAATGGAGGTGTTCCCATAAATGGATTTTTGGTAATTTTAAGTTCTAAACTTCTCAAAACCTATATTTCAGAAAATATCAAAATTAGCCGGTAGTACTTCCATTGCCACCAAGACGATTTTTAGAAGACTTTTTGGCCATAATCTGCTCGCCTATTTCTTTTGAGACGCGTCTCAGAGCTGCAATGCGCGGTGTGGGGACATTGTTTATTGCTAAAGCTTTCATTTTACATTTACGCCGCCAAACATTGTAATTATTATTATCAGGCCAAAATAAAATGATTAAAAACTGTTGTAATGTCACTTTGATGACGTGAGCATTCCATTGACACAGTTTGTGGTTCATAATACCACGTCACATTGTCCCCTTATTAAAGCTGCTTACGTTCTTGGATCAGAAAAAACAACGTGTTACAAGCAGTGATATTTGAAATTTGTTCTTTCACTAATTCCGGATTTGAAAAGTGTTCACATGTTTTACTAGTGTAGCTATTTCCATGTGCTCGGCTATCACACTACAATGTTCTGTCGCAAAATGTACCGGTTCTTGGATCAGATAAACAAAGTGTTACAAACAGTGATATTTTAAATTTGTTCTTTCTCTAATTCCAGATTTGAAAAGTTTTCACATGTTTTCCTAGTATTTTTTCCATGGGCTATCAAACTACATTTTCCTGTCGCAAAATGTACGCCTACCGGTACTTTAAATGTGTTAAAATGTGTGGTCTATTTTAACAAGCATGGCTACTCTCCCTAGCCTGTGGCCGTTTCGAAAATTCTACAACAAATTGAAAATGGTCGTGCGTAATCAATCAAGATTACCCACGACCATCTTCATAAAATTCCGCCTTCCCACACTACACCTATTAAACTTTAATGTTTCGTACCCATGGACATTCAGTACAACATGACACATGGCTCTCCCTGGTTTTACCTAACGTATCGTAACAACAACTTGTCTATCCTATCTTTTCGTACTCCCATGCCCGTGCACATTTATGCATTGCCGCACATCTCACTCCATTTCCTTTGCCTATGAGTCTCTCTGTAACATTAAAAAATCATAATAATATTTGACTGTTAAACGTTCCTATTCTTACCTACTGATCTGATTTTCTGGTCAGTTTGGTAGGCTTCCCGATCTGAAAATTCGGATTCGGTGTGAATGCTCTGTACTATGGCTTACTGTTATTCGAATTACGCTTTTCGCTTACATTCTAACATTTACAAAATAAAACTATAACTTATAGAAGGAACTACTGCATAAACACGTTTAATAAATGAATACTAAGCTTCCGTAGGTAACATTGTCAAAAAACCATTAAGCCTGTGGATTAAAACGCTATTCGTTTCTTACAATTGTTTAACAAACATTACAGGTTATACAAGTACAACTAATACATTGATAATTAAGGGTATAAGGTTAGTGCATTATGGAGGCACAGAATACCAGGAAAATGAAATAATTTATACCCCTCTTTAACTAAGTAAACTAGCCATTTCAAAATATTCTTGTAGTCATTCCACATGAGGCCAATATGTTCTTGCAAACTATAAGGAACAAATATGCTGTACTCTAAAGTACACTCTATGTTTTTTTCTGTTATTAGTTCATATCGTATACCATAAATCCGGAAAATATGATAGGAAGGGTAGTGCTACCATACACTTTCTTTCTTTCGTTTGTCAGCCAGACTTGATCGCCGACATTGAGTAGAAGTGTTACTCCAGAGCTATAATGCTCATGACCTGTGGCGTCACTACGACGAATATATGTGATTGCATTCCCATTCAACATAATATTAACATGTGTAGAAACTCCATTATAGGACTCAAAATTTAACATAAAGTAATACACTCCAGAAACACTACATGTAAACCTTCCACTAGTTTTGTTAAAGTCCTCTCCAATATTAAACTTCATCGATGTGAAAGAGATGGCTGATTCTGTATCCTGAATAGAAGTCGTGCGCAATGCAGTAAACGCAGATTTACGGACAAATCCTGGCTCGCCTTTTGCTCCATTATTTCCTTTAGCACCATTATTTCCTTTAGCACCATTATTTCCTTTAGCACCATTATTTCCTTTAGCACCATTATTTCCTTTAGCACCCCTTAGTCCTAATTGTCCGACTGGACCTTGTTTGCCAGGAGATCCTTCACTTCCTTTATCACCTTTTAGACCTTCATTTCCAGGTTCTCCTTTTTTGCCTAAAGCTCCTGTTTCACCTCTGTCACCCCTATTACCAGGTGCACCAGCCGGACCACCTCCTCCAGGTGGTCCGGGAACTCCTGGAAAGCCGTTTTGCCCAGGTGGTCCTTGACAGCACTTATTACAGGTATAGGGTACATCTTCAGTCGTCGGGGTTGTTGTAGATACTATTGTTGGTAGCCATAGTAGACTTAGCAGGCTGACCATAACTGCACATGTCCATGACAGATTCATTCTTCTGAATAAAAAGAGAAGATTTTGTTTATTGACTGTACTCGTTACAGTTAAAGTCAACATAACCATGAAAATATATCTTTCATGATTAATCACATTGTGATTTAAACTAATTGTTGGTAATTTGGTTCTAGTTAAATTACTGAATCTAGGGATAATGTGCAAAGCATCAGACATGATTTGATGTAGTTGTAAAATAAATATATATGCTAACTATTCTACGGCCTATCATGGTTGACGACGTATGCTGCCGAGGCTGCGCCACTAGGTTAGCCGGTGAATGCAGAGTGTGGGCCTGATTCTAATTCATCATTAGAAATATCATAATAAATACAGAGTTTAATAGTGTTATGTTTAATGCTGTTATGTTGATATAAGAATAATTTAGGTTCGTGTTGACGCATGTTTTATGTGGTAGTATTGTTAACTATTTCCGCAATAGACGAATGTTTAGACTTGTTTACGAAAGGATTACAAGCTCGCGCTGTTAAAAATATAGGCTAGCAACCAGTTGCTAAGCGACCTCAACTTAAGGAACTTTCGTTCCGCTTCAATGAATAATGAATCAGCAATGTTAACTGTTAAATGTACTATACCCAAAGACTTATAAGACTAACCTAGTGTTTACAGAAAACCAAAACCTATTCTTCTAAGTCAAAAACTATAAATTACACTCTTTCCAAATAATAGTAATAGTTTAAACAGTACCACTTCGAAAAAAAAGATATTGCATTATTTATTTAAAAAAATAAATAAAGATTGTGATTGTACTAATGGTCACACATCTGCTTTTTTCACTTTTCTGTACTATTATATGTACTACTGTATTTGTTAGCTAATATTTACAAACACAATTAAGGGTTGCCTTAATTTATTAGCTTGAATTATTTCTGTTAATTTCACACTTTATAATATCATTTATAAGCCGGCTTTATTATTTATAATTCGAGAAAAAAAAGAACAATAAAGAAAATAACATAACAGATTTAATATTACTTGTTTAAATTTTTTTAGATGCGCAATTTTGTGCGAGTGTAAATGCACAAGGGGAGAGCAATATTGAGAGCAGTAGTGAAGAAAGTTGACTTTCCAGCTTTAGATTTATACATTTAAAATACAGATACAAATACCAACAATATACATTATATGGTTAATAAAATAGACACCATCAATAAACGATATTCATACTGCACAGATTCAGAGGAAGAAAAGATAAATTGAAGTGGTGCAATACACTAACTTTTAATAATTGCTGCGAAGCAGCCAATTCATATTCTTAACAGCAATTTGACCTCTGAAAGGTCATTGTTTGTCAAAAAACAAAGGCCTAAGACGACTGAAAAGCGGAGTTTCCTTCTTTCGTTCTGCCAGGTAAAATCAATTACTTTAGGCGACGTTTGTAGACTAACCAACACGTACCAACGTCCGCATGCCGCGCTAGCCTTATTCTACTCTAGGCCTAGACTAGCTAGGATGGTATAGGCCTAGCCTTGAAGGGACGAAGGACCCAATGAAAAACAACGTCGCTCCTTGATAGCTAACATTGTCTATTTAACATCACAATAATTCATTATTAGACCTATAGTTGTTTTTTGAATTGTACTCCACAAATCTCAGCCGATACCTCGCACAACTCGAGTAACGTCTGGTATGTATTGTCGTGACGTCATGGCTCGCTGGCTCACACTTGCGATGTCTCGCACTTGTGATCAAATAACACGCTGGCTCGCACTTTGGCAACACTCTTTGGCAGTCAACTCGCCCCTAGAAAACCCGCCCTTGGAAACTTGCCCCATAAGAAAAAAAATGTACACTTTCAAGACCATGCAGTCCTCAAAATACAAATTTTAACCTTTGGTAATCAACTACATTTTCCACATACATATAAATTTTTGAAACTTTATAAAAAAAAACCTAAACAATAATTCACCACTATAGATACTTGACAAAAATGAAAAATTACAACTTTGTTACCCAATGAGAAATGTTCTAATATAAACAATGGGTCGTGTCTCATATTATTTGTTATATTTTTATTATTCATTATTTTCACTTGACTCGCATAAATAATTTTGTTCGAAGAACATTTATATGCAGTTGTACTTCGCAGCACTTCACTTGCAATTTGCAATTTCTAGTAATAGTTATTATTACTGTTACTGTCGTTGTGAATACTATTTTTTGACAGCTTACTATCAATATACACTATTTGTATATTGATTGGCTACCATTAACAGACATCTAGACAGGTAGATAAGGGAAATATTTTTCGAATAATAATAATACTGTGCCTTGTTTAGTGAACTTATTTTTGTAGAATGCGTCAGATGGAGGGAAGAATTATTTTGGCAAAATGATTTTGCCAAAAGCATTTAGGTGAAAGACAAAATGAAAATAAAATTTACATTGATATGAAATGAAACAGTGTTGTAATGAGATTGATAAATGCTTTAAATTAAAATTTTTTAAATTTGTAGATATTTCAGGAGAGTGAATTAAAGTCATAATAAAAATATGTAACAGTTTTATCTTTTTCTAAAATTCTAATTTTCGTCGGGGAGGGTGCGTTAACAATTCAAAATCGCTGAACAAGGTACAGTATAACATTTCTCGCCTAAAAGTCTGTGATTCCTAGGGCCTACTAACAGGCCTAGTATTAGGCCCTACTATGCAAACGACCTCGTTTGTACTCATAGTAGGCCCTACTACAGTATTTGCTAGGCCTATTGGTAGCAGTGTTTATTAGAGTTGTATGATCAGCTGTGACTATGGTAGGCTACTAAATGTTGTTCCCAATACTGTAATCTGTTACACATATTATAAAGATCAGGCTTACTCGGCGCGTTGTATTTGCATGGATTGTTTGGTTGGCGTGTATCGCATTGCTCTGACGAGTGTACGACTGTCAAACAAAAGTGCGATTATGTCATTTTATCATTAGCCAGTCAGAGCGCTTTATATGTCTCCCTATGCTTGGCTCTTCACGAAAAAAAAAAATCGCAGGCCGGCCAAGGATTACAGTACGGTAAAACAAAGAAAAATCGTATTAGAATAAAACAAATTGGCGTTTGTGAGAAATACATTTTAATTTTATATAAGTAAGTAGTAAGTATATGAATAATTTTAATGCACTAGTTAGTTGATAACTTCATTATAATTTGTTTTGGGTTTTTTCTGCATTTTTATAAGCAGTTAGACATGGCCTAGGCTAGCCTATGTGATGTTCATTGTAATACTACAAAACAAAATCACATTAATTTAAAATTAAATTTGTGAACATACTTGCCTTAAATCTTTAACTAGCAGGTGATTTTATTGGTGATTTGC